GCAGATAGTGTCTTTAAATGTGTGTGTATCAGAGCTGAGAACTTTTTGGATTTCAGTGTATGATAGATGGTTTATTGGCACAAAAGGTTAAAATAACAGGATACTTAAAACTAGAACTTTTAATGACATTCACTGAAATCCTATGAAGGGAAAGATTTGTACTGGCTATGTTTCCACAAAAAAACACTGAATCACACACACAGCAAACCAATAAGAGAGATTATCACCACAGTGAAGAAGACCACAGCAGGAAGAATTCAAAAGAGTTCAAACTGCCCATCTACTAAAAATACATTAAAAACCCAGGCAAACAGGAAATTATAACAAGAACCCAATTTAATAGACAAGATGATTATTTAATATAAAAGAAAACACAGCGTGACAAGGGAGGAAGCAGTGGCTGGTTCCTACAGTATGAACAGAGACACACAGAGACTTGCAATGTCAATTTACCTTATTACACTGAATATTGTTTCATGTTGACATGCCAGACACAGCATTCAGGAACTATTTTCAATAGATGTATTAAACTGTGCATACACATGGTTCTGTCAATAAATAAATGTCAATCATCTCAACCATGTTTGCATTTAAGGTAAAGCCTTGGAGTGCTTTGTTTCATATTTGGAAGGCAGATAAGTTTCAGTTAAAATAGATAAATTTTTTCATTCTTATCCCTTTTGGCCAGTGCATATATTGGTCCGAAAAATGTGCCAGTGTCCTAATTCAGCACAACCCTAACCAATACTTATACAGTTTTTTTCCATTTTCACTACGATTTTCTCTGTGTTAAGCCAGCTATGTGTTTACACAGAGATGCAGTTATATGGACTTTAACACCCGTATTCTGCCTTATGAATGCATGTAATGCCAAAAAGTGATTACAGCAAATATCTTGTCACTGTTCTGGCTCAGATTATAGCTCACCCAGTTTTTTGTACCAGTTGAAATACCTTTTAACCCTTTAAATACACCCCATAAATGCACTTTTACTTACCAAACAGCAGTCCTTGTGACTGAAAGTTTTTGTAATGCCACAAAATGACTTTATTTCCTTAATGGAGGTTATATTTTAAAGATCACAGCTCACCCACTAACTTTAAGCTGTTCAAAAGCTTTTAAAATAGTGTTTCTCAACAGGGGCTGTAGCGCCCACCAATTGGTAAGTCTGCATCGGGGGGCACTGGAAACAATATTTTGGAGGGGCATTTTGTTTAAGATGAATTTACTCCAAAGATTCACAACAATGCAAGTTGAAACTTTGATCTATTTCCAAATTAAGGTGGTCTGTAACATTAAAGCCTGCTAGTTTTCACCACTGCGACTATTTTATACCTGCATCTCTCTTTAACCCAATTTCAATCTGCTAATATATATTTAACACCAAACAGTTACATGCTGCATAATATGTGACATACAGTATATGTCTCCTCATTTACATCAACCACCTGAGGATGGGGCTGACATGAAAATCCGCTTTAAGGACCTCCTGAACCTCGATGTTCCCATCTGGGTGGTGTAGTCCTTTCAGGTGGATGTGACGAAATGTGAGCCCCTTATCCAGGCACATCCTGTTGGCATCTAAGGCGATGATGAGTCCCAAGGCTACTGTCGCACCGAGTGGTTATGTGGGTCAAATATAGGCAGGGTTACCCACTCTCAGGGAAAAGACCATTCTGATTGCTCTTTCTTTCCCGACAACAATATCTGCTGTATTTGAGCAGGGATTCAGCAGTTCTTCCACATACATCGCTTGTTTTCCATTAAGAAAATAATAATATTGCTTGCGATTGTTTGGCATTTTTTGATTGGCTCCTGTTGGTGGCACTTAATTAAAGGTTGTCAAATGTCTAACCTATTTTTAAACACTCAGATATAACTTCTATTCATATGGCTTTTTTTTCTTCCTGGGAAATTAATGATAATGATATTCCAGCTGTCCAGTTTAATCAAGTCTGTTCTTTGGCATTCAATTAAATACTTTTTTAATGATATAGCACGTAATAATATTAACATGATTAAATGTATACATCGTGGATATTATTGTTGATTATTGTTGTTTTTTATTATGATGACGATCATGATAATAATAAACAGAATATTAATCAAAATTAATATTAAGCAAAGGCAATTAGTCTTTTTTTGATGGGGGCGGTAAGGGACCTGAATAATGGACAGGGGAGGCTGGCCAAAAAAAGGTTGAGAACCACTGCTTTAAAGGGTCAGAAAGGGATTACAGCCCCTATCGTGCGTCTGAAAAGAATGTACTGCCCCAAAATGACTTCATGTCACTTTTGGGGTTTCTATTTTAAATATTATAGCTCACCCAGTTGAAATACAGTTGAACCTTATAATGGCCAATACAACCCATAAAATGCACCTATGCATTTGCGAAAAAAAGAGCTTTTATCTTCTTGATTTGGCAAAATGATCTTAAGAATTATAGAAAGGCCCTCCGTAATGCCAGAGGAGCCTATTACTCAGCACTAATAGAAGAAAATAAGAACAACCCTAGGTTCCTCTTCAGCACTGTAGCCAGGCTGACAGAGAGTCACAGCTCTATTGAGCCATGGTTATCCCATAAACACTAATAAGTTAAGCAATGACTTTATTGAACTTTACAGTTTAATAGTAATATATTTAAATCTACACTATATTATATCTAAAAGTTTAATGAGTTAAAAAAATAAATAAACTTATACACAGACAGGAATGCCCTCATAATAACTCTCGCAGGCTTCTCACCACAGAATCGCAAGAAATAGACTTGCTTGCAAATCATTTGTGGCTATCAGAATAAAGCCAAATTGGTTCTGTAGTAGCAGTTGTCTAAGACTCTTGTGAGTCTGTCTGGTTGATCAGGACTATGTCATGGCATGATGCACTCCATTATAGCTCATCGAATCTTCTCAGGCTGCTTCTATGTTCATATATAGCTACTTGAGGGCCGTCTTCAAATATCTCAGACTCATAATTAGTACAGATTGGACCGGACTCCTGATCACAGAGGGCGATAGAGAGAAAGTTGTCCAGATCCATGTGATCTGGAGTTATTCGCCAACAGCGGTAGGAGGTGATAGATACAAAAATAAAATAAAATTAATTATCAGGTTGCTCTCGACCTGACTATTAGTAGTCGTTGAGAGAAGAACGCGCTCCATACACTCTATGCGGAATAGCGTGCGAGACTTAGAGTAGGTGACTGTAGCTAGGTGGAACCTAGGATGAAAGGACGCGCTCTCAGTGTCTATGCTCGTTTCTATTATACGTTACTTTCATGCGAGCATTATTTTTGTTGTCATAAGCATTCGGTCATTTTGGGTGTCGTCGTACCTCTGATTCTCACCTTATTGCTTTCTGTTTGTACTGTTTTCGTTCAGTAGTGCTTATGTCGAGTGCTGCTGTCCCCCATCATTGCTGCTGTCATCATCATAGTCTTTTTCATGATCGTCATCAGTCACTACTATTAATGTAGTTGTTGCTACTGTTGCTCTACTGTTGTTGCTGTACATCTGTCTGTTTCTCTCTGTTTCTCTCTCTCTCTCCCCCCCCCCCAAACTGGTCAAGGCAGATGACCACCCAACTAGAGCTGAAGGGTCCGTCCTAGGTTTCTGCTAGCAGTAATATTAGCAGGACCATGGCAGCAGGCACCACCAGGATCCATGAGAACCTGTGGGACGATTATAAAGATGTTTTATTTTAAGGAGTTAATGGACAATAAATACTTAATATTAATTACTTAATATTAATTACTTAATATTAGGTTGTTCTTCTTTGTTCTCTATAGCTACTGACCTGTATCAGTCACTGTACATATGATTGTTGACTGTCAGCAGTAGCTGTATCGATACATGTCCACAGGAAGACAGCTTCTGTGCTGGTGGCATGATTTACAGAGTTATTCCTAAAAAGCTGAATCAGAGATCACGGCTGAGGCTGGAAAAGTGAAGCTTCAGTCTGCACATTTCTGGGCAGAGCACAGCTACACAGCATTTTATGGAACTGCTGAACTTTCACCTATATCTTTGATAATGACCTGGCCTATTAAACACAAAGTAGGGCATAATGACATGACAAAATATCTTATCTATTTTTTCCTTCTAATGCAGTACCTCTCTTCACTGACCTTGAATGAAGAATACCTATTTACTATGAGTCACTGGGAAACAGCAGACACTGCCAATATCTGTATGCTAAACCAGTTTGGCTGATGAAATATTGCACAAGGAATAGGAATGCTTAGGGAACAGCATCCTGATTGCACGATATACAATGAACCCACTGTGTAACAAAGTACAATGGGATATCAACAATACATAGTGTAATGCTAACTGGTGGAAGGATGCTGTCCCCAACTTTCCTCTGGTGTCACCACTGTAAAACAGCGTGGCAGGCTGTAAAAACAGCCTCTTAATCTTAGTATACTCCTTCATAAAAGTAGTAAGTTAACTTAATTCTGCAAAAAAGTCCATTAATGAAATCTAACTCAGAAATGAATTGCTGAAGTTGTTTTAGTGCACTTAAATTTGAGCAGTATTTAAATTATTGGTGATATAATTCCAGTTTGTTCCGCTCGACTAATTACAAAAATGTAATCTCCACTGTGCTATAACGCTGTATAGTTTAGGATTTGCCCAAGTATTCATCCAAATAAAACTGTTTAAGGAGATCGGTTCCCTCAGTTTGAGTTGTACTGACTCATCGTGTTGTTTTGTATTCAAAACAGGGATTTTTGCCAAAAGGCAGTGAGTTTGCAGCTTTAAGATTTTTAGTGAAACATCTCAACTGTCAGATGGACTGTGATCTTCTGACTTTTTCTGTAGCGCCATCAACAGATCAACACATTCCAAAATACTTTATGACCAAATACCTGCAAAACTATCATATATAACCCGTCAGCCTCAGCTGTACTTTGTATTTAAAGCTAACGAGTAAATGTTAGCATGCTGACATTCAATATGCCAATCTTGGTAAACATCTTATAAATAAGAGAGAGGTGATTACTGGTAGTCATGTTTTTATTCCAAAATAAAAGCAGTATTTGTTTATTTTAACTAGATTTCATGCAGGGTTCCTACTCTTCTTAAGAAATCATTGTCCAAGAGTTTTTCTTTACAATACAACACAGCACTTGCTCACAATGGTAGACAGTTGTTATGGGACACAGACTTGATGCCAAAAGTTCACTTTGCATCTGGTAAACCCACTTTGAAGTGTAGCACAGCGTTTCATACCAACAGTCAAGGAAAATCCCTGCCAATGTCATGCACTGTCCTATGGCCTGACCTTTGTACTTGGAGCTATGTAGTTGTGGTGTTTCATTCTGATCTAATAAAGTCAATATATGTTCTGCAGCAATACTCCACATTCATTAGGAATAGATAAAGGTGCTGGATAACTTAAAAACACACCAGATTATTTGTTGTACAATCCAGAAAAAAACTATTCAATCAGCTTTAGAAAGCAGGTAGAACAAAAAAAAAATATGACATTTCACTATCATTATATGTGATAACTGAACTACAGTCAAAACATATTAAGGCAGCAGGTAGACAGTGTAGCTCTTGTCTGTGGTACAATAAACTTATTAGCATCTGACTGTCAGATATGGGAAATGTTTCTCCTGTAACAGTACACATCAGTAAAAATCAAATTCAAATATAGCATTTGAATTATTTTCTTTTATGAAATTAAAAAGACTATTAAAAAACATGTTAAAATTCAATTCATTTTGTAAATGTATTTTTTTTCATTTTTCAGTGACATTTGTCCATAAGAAAACTCTTAAAAACAATGTGACTGAAACTTGTTTGAGCACAAGTGTAGTTTATAAACTGGGAGTGCTACTCAGGATGAACCTCCATGATTCAGGAGTACATCATGGAAGTCAAAACATTCAAAAATGTTTGGAGAAACATGGTGTTTCATTTTACACCATATTTTCCATTCACTCGAATGGAAAAAAAACAAAAAAACAAAACACTTCTCTCTCTAAAAAAGTCTTTAAAAAAAACTGTGATGTACACTTCTTACTCAAGCTCGGTATTGTAAATAGCAGCTTTTTTGGACAATGCATAAAACAGCTGGATAGTGTTCTTTCTTTCCCTAAAAAAGTCGTTTGAAATTACTTTAATTCAGAGACAGTTCCATCGTTGAGTTGCTCAGGAGATGCATCGAGCAGCTCAAACATATCATCAATAACCTGCCACAGACAGTTCTCCAGAGGAAAGTCATTGTCCACCAGATTGACCAGGAAGTAGTTGTCACGGATATACTTGATGATCATCCGTGAAGGAGATTCGTCTTCATAGAGTTTGGCCCACTGCTCGATCCACAAGGCAAAGGCTTCATCCTGAGAAAAACATAAGGACAGGTTTGGTGAGGAGAACAACTAGTAGATAAACACGTGCTTCTGATTACATTTTGTCACTTTACCTATTCTTATCGTCACATAAACTAACATATCCCCATTATTTCTCAAGGTGCCCGTTCTGCCTCACCAACCTTTCCATAAAACAGGTCTTGATCAAGAAATCAACTATTTAGAAAGGTTTATTTAGGAGTCTTAAGTAGAGAACCCCTAACCTCACGAGGCAGCTAGACTTAGCTATGCACTTTTGTCCTTTTCCAAACAATTTCCAATGACAACTTCCCAGACAGATTCCCAGACCTGGGACAGTCAGGTTAGGGATAACTTAGTCTACTGTCCAAATGGTAGTAAATAAGATATTCAAGCTAACAGGAGATAAATTAAAGGAAAAAACAGTGTGTCTTAGTTAGGGCTGTCCTAGACTAGGTTTTCCTAGTCAACTAGTAGTTGTTAGATAAAACCAATAGTCGATTAATAGTTAACTCCGCTATTAGGGGGCAGCCATAGTCTTAGTAAGGTCTTCGGCCACCAGAACAACTCCACTGCACCATGGCACTGATTCTGCAGTCTCAGGAACTCTACTGGATTGCTGGGCTGTCCAACTTGTCCCAAAGGTGTTCAACTAGGCTGAGATCTGCGGACTACAAAGGCCACAGCATATAATTCACATCATTTTCCTACTCATCAAACCATTCAGTGAGCCCTCCTAACCCTAACCCTATGGATGGGTGCATTGCAGTCTTGGAAGAGACTACTTCCATAGGGATAGAAATGTTTTATAATAGGATAAAGGTGATCACTCAGAACAACTTCGTATTGATCTGCAGTGACCCTTCCTTCTGAGAGACAAGTGGAACCAAATCATGTCAACAAAATGCCCCCCACATCTTAACAGAGGCATGGCAGCACTCAGGTCTCCATCTTACCTTCCAATACATAAAGCTGACTGGGTCCGCTACAGTAGGTTGAACAATCTCCCTGCCAGGAAAGATCCCCCACGTCACAGCGTTGGGCTGCATATCAGGGGCGTTAGTCAAGTTACGGCCCTGTACAAAAAAAAGAAAAAATCCATTGTGACCTTTTTATAATAATATATATTTATATATCGCACACGACTACAGAATGGCAGGTGCTGTCTGTTCAAACTTACGTGCACATCAACAATGTGGTAGTTGACACGAGGCTCATACTTCTTCAGCACTTTGAGGAGAGCGGTCACATTCTCACTGGAGGTAAAGAACTCCAGATAGGCCTGTTGGATTTAAAACAAGAAGATAAAGGTCACATCAGACAAAAAAAACTTTCATTCCCTACCCACTCCATTCAAAAGGCACAAAAAAAGCTGAAAGTGTTACTGCCTTCTGAAACACGTATCCTCCAGCAGGTCCCCAGCCAACTATAGGGTCTGTGGAGGGTTTGCCGTTGATGTTGGGCTGGGAGTTGATGGTGAGGACTCCTCGTCTGTTCACCTTCTCCAGCTCATCTTTCAGCAGGTTGGTCTCTGGGGCCAGAGGCTCATCGTTCCATGGCAAACACATCACCTAGCAAAGAGGGAGCCTTTCATCAATATGCCCAACCATTATACCCAACCATTAACTATTACTATAGTTAAAGTATCAGTTTCACACACTTATTCTCTTAAGAGTGAGATATTCAGATTGATCTCAATCTCATGTCTGTGTGTTCAGTACAGAACTGGAGTCAGGATGTCTAAACACACAGACATGAGATTGAGATTGAGACTCAGAAAAAAGAAACTACTATTCCGTTAATTAGTGAAATTTTTCATAAAATTTAGAGTTCAATGTAGAGATGTTCCGATACCATTTTTTCCCCTCCCGACCGATTCCGATACTT